TATATATATGTATATATATGTATGTATATATGTATATATATTTTAAACGCTTCAACTTTGAAGTGAAATATTTGGATTTTTAATCCCGTTCCGGGTATTGAGTTTTAAAGTACATATATGTTTAGAACACTAAAACAAGCTTATTCTGTAAGTTTCAGAAAAATCTAAAAAAAATGGATTTTTTTCAGAGAACGGAAAAATAATTAATAGAATATATTAGAATTGTCGATATGGCCATATAATCGTAGCATATAATGCATAATGATTACCCACTCCAATCTACCTCGTAAAGTACAGATACCAACACTTAGAGACTATGTATAGAACGGAGTCGATATCGGTTATCAGATATCAGCATCGAGGAATTAGTGGAGGATATGCTATGAAAGTTGTAGTTTTGCGCCAGATCGGAAAGGGAAGTCTATGGATGAAGTAATTTAACAATGGCGCAGTAATTTAATACCTTTAATATAGCCGCAACGTAATTTAGTATCATTACAAATAGGACGCAGGGGATATTGATTTTTTTTTTTTTTTTTTTGATCGTACACACTGAATACTGTGCGGTACGATTTCCAATACGGAATAGCGCTCCTGTGAAATCTTCGAGTCGTGCTTGGTCGACTGGGCGAAATTCGCTATTATTTAGCTCCATTTGTTTTCCGCAACGTTCAAATAATGAGTCTATTCCCCGTGCACTTACCTCCACCGCGCCCCATCCGGTAACGTTCACCATAACACCATCCGTGAGCTCCTTTTTCGGAAGCTTCACTGGCTGCACCCTATCGTTAAATACGATTTCGCCGTCGATCTGAAATGAAATTTTCAGAGTGTGTGAGAACTACCGATGTTGTTATTGTCAGCTGGCGCAGAGTCGTTAACGAGCAAAAATAGAGAGATCGGGGCGAGGAAGCAAAAGAGAAGAAGAAAGAGATAGAGGTCGATGTTACCTCGAGGAGGGTAATATCGTAATCGATCGCCAGGAAATTGTAGGCGGGATGTTGAACGATCTTTTTAACTGGATAAAAGGTGCCCCCCCCCCCTTCGTATTTGTCGTTACTTCCTGCGTGAAGTCTGTAAACGCTCGCCGACAAACTGGAACAGAATGTACACGCTGGTATATGAAAATATCATGATGATATATAAGCGCACGTTATGCAGCTACGCTATGATAAAATTTACAGATTATTTGTGAGAAGATGCTCTATTAGATAGGTGATTTCACAAACGTGCCTACAATTTTCCAACAAGATTTTATCTCTGTCTACTTTAAATCTTCGATACTTAACTATTTGTGTTTGTTAAATTCAATGCTGACCATTTCTGAACAAGTCAGGTATCCGGCTCTCTCTCTCTCTCTCTCTCTCTCTCTCTTTTCTCTATATATAACTAATTTCTTCAATTTATTACTGAATCTTTGCGATACTTAATTAATTAATTATGTATTTTATTTCATTTTCCGTATGACGTATCATTATTACATGTCATCATTATTACATGTCACGCTTTATAAGTTGTAGTAAATTTTAGTGTTAGCAATAAATTTTATGCACTGAGGATGATCCGGAACGAAAGTCGCAACATTTATATTTTTATATGAGAATATATGACCCAATTCTTTTTTTTTGTGTTGTCTGTTACAGGTACTTTATATTATATTGGCTACTTACAGGAACTTTATATTCTTTGCATTTATATAGGTACTTACAGGTACTTTATATTCTTTTGATTTATATTTTTTAGAGCCTAAATTTATTCCTATTGTACAATTTTCAACTTGTATAATTTTAACACGACGATTCGGGACGTGAACTTGAAACGGTGAAACTACAATACTTCTACTTTAAATAATAATTATTCTGCTACAGATAGGAGTTATATTCGAGTTTATAAAAGCGTAAAATGGATTGTAGAATTTCCCAGGAAAGATTTCTCTGTTTCTGAGTTTTAACTAATCGCACCGGCTCATTATCAGAACCGTATTTACCTTCTTCCTAATTAAGCATTCGCGAATTGGATACTCCAAAACAGACACGCTTGAAAAATTGCATTATTGTGGAAATTTATGATAAAGTTTACAATTCTATCTTTCTTTATCCGAATTTGTATGCTGAAATATGCAAGAAGAAAGTAAATACGTTCTGTAATAATAATGCTGCGATTATATTTGGCACTTAATGAGGAGTATAAAATTAGTTAAAAGACGTTTTAAAGATAAGGATAAATATAATTAGCTTAAACGTCTTATGAAAATTTAGGTGTTGCCTTGTAATGAGATAATGTGACATCTAAGGGAGAAAGAAATATGTATGTATATACCCCTGACGCAATGAGCCGCCGTGACAACCCATTTATTGTTGACGATGACGGCTTTACAAGCGTGCCGCGAACCTCGCTGGAGGCACAATTGATAAGGATGCTGCTTTATGTCAGTTACCGTACCTCTTGTGATTCGAGGGTCAAGAAGGATAGCCGGTCGCACCAGGAAGGATGCTGTAATATTAAATCTGATGGTGGAATTTGTCTTGGGTCACGCCTCAGCAAAAAAGTTGATCTCACAATGCGGTGAATACATAAATCACGCGAAGATTTGGTTGACTTTATTACACGCTACTGTATAACCTCTTAAACTTTCCTTTCCGGAACGCGTTGAACAAAAAAAAAAATATGGCTAAAGAAGTTCCGTTATAACTTGTACTGATTTGACTTTATCGTGCTCTATTATTCATTGCGGAGTTCTAAATGTCAGATAAGTTATGTTGTTTTTGCTGTATATGAAGCTTAACTCTTTCTAATATAAATATAAATATAACATTTAATGTAAATTTACAATTTATAATATATAATATATAGGTCATCCTATTTTAATTAATATAAATCAATTTTCTTTGAAATGATTGATAATACAAAAAAAAATGTTTTAGATAACAGTACGTTTTCGACATATTGAATGCATTTTATCACGTTTTTTTCTGGATCTAGTAAAAAAGATATGATTACCTCCACTTTTTTTAAATGTGAGTGATCTTCATATTTTTTTATCGCATTCATTTAGAAAAAAATGTAACTGAGATACGTTCTCCTGAAATCGTTCGACGAAAAGAACATATTTTTAACATAAATAAATTTATTCTTGTCATTTTCGTTTTACTAAAAAAATCATTCTTTTTGAATTGTAACAATTTTGATAATTTTTTAAAAAATCGATTCTTTTCTAATTATAACGATTTGAAGTTTGACAACTTTTTATGAAGTTAATTCACCTTTTATTAATTTACTTTTAATGATTTATAGTTATATAGGATATTTATCTAGCTCATTCATAATAACTGAAAAGTTACGTTCTTTAAGTTATATCACTTTTTTAAAGTAAAGAAGCGACATATGATTTGTAAATTTATTTTAATATACATATATATTGTAAAATTAGAATTTTTTTGTTAAATAATGTAAAAGAGTGAGAGAGAGAGAGAGAGAGAGAGAGAGAGAGAGAGACTCTCGAAAATGTATAATAAAATACCAAACAAAAGGACTAATGTAAGTTCTGGTGCGGTAAATAAAACAGTGCGTATAAATAATTCAAAATCGTAACAGATAATATCAATATTTTTTCCACTCACCGATACTTTCGGCAAATAGGAAATAAGAAATAAAACTTCTGTAACATCTTACTAGCATACAGGTACATGTACTAGTAAGTTATACACATACTCATTGGCTTTTATATTGCAGTCATGTTTCTCACATCTGGCGAGAACTTCTTATCTCATGTCGACGCAAAATGCATTTTATTATTCGAGCGTTGCATGAAACGACATAATTGTTAAAGAATGTCATGCAGGGAGGAGAGAACACAAATAACGAAATATTCTCTTCATAAAATCGTTATATTATTGTAATACAAGAAAAACTTGTATTTGTTACAGTAATAATTCAGGCGATAAAATATTTCTGTGTACATACATATATTCTATGTGTATATATATATATATATA